TCCCCTTCCCTGATTTTATGTGAGCCGCCCTGAGTCCCCTCAGGGAAAAGGGCGGCCTACAAATTTCAATAAAATCAAAATCAAAAAATCAAAATTCCCATTCCCTCCCTATCAGCTGGGAGTCGGGAGGCAGAGAATAGATAGGGCGGGGCCAGTCAGAGGTGGTGTTTACCAGTTTTCTGAACTTCTCAAAATTTCCATTACCGGTTCTCCAGAACTGGTCAGAACCTGCTGAATACCACCTCTGTAGTGCGGTATGAATCAAGCTACAGTACCTTTGGATGCAAGTTTTACACTTAGCTAAATCAATTTCTGTCCCTTTTAAATGATCCTTGAGAAAACCTAGTAGACCCAAGATGCTGCAGAGAGAAACTTGGTAAATGACACCCATAAAATCCCAGTTTACACAGTCAGTGGATTTATCTACATTTTCCTAAAACTGGATAGCTCCAGAACAATGGGAATTTGCCTGGGAATTCCTGGGAATTTGCCGTGGAGACAGCTAGAATTAAAGATGCATATTATGAAAGATGCTGCTAGATTAGGGAGGATTAGACAAATCAGTGATCAAGCTAAGGAAGGGCGGCTCCCGTTTCCAAAGAACAAAGCCAAACAATGAGGGTTCCCTCCCAAGTAACAAAAACAACTTCAGAGGATATCAAAACTTACATATGTTTTCAGTGTTTAAGATTTAGAGATTTGAAGAACTATGTCAGTAAATCTACATGAATTGGGGGGGAGGGGGACGTTTCTCACAAATTTCAAGGCTATTCAGCTTTGCTTCCAGGGCCAGATGTCAAGATGGGGATGAAGCGGGTGTGTCTACACTCCATTTATGTAACAAGATTTGGAAATGTTTATTGCACAAACTCTTTCATCAGACTGCAAAAGCATTTATACAATGATACACCTGGCACAGCTGCTGTGTTTAAAAAAAATTATCCTCCTGCCGGCACTGTAGGCAATTTCCCCTTTGCCTCTTCACACAGAAACATAGGAAGCAAGTCAGACTAATCCGGTTTTCTCTCAAAGGTCTTTGGCTCACCTCCAAAACTGGCAAACTTCATTCCCCCCCCCCCCCCAAAGCATTCACTTCACTATGGTTGTCCTCCAACAGAGCAGAAAACAATTTGGCCAGGACTTACATCTTCCAAAGCATCCTGATATACAAAAATGTGTAATAGCTTTTCACAGTGTGAAGCAGATTGAAAGTCTAACCCTAGCAAACAATGGAAAATTTGGCAACCACAACCTTACTTCTTTCTGGCATTCAGATCAATGACATACAACTTACCGTATTTTTCGGAGCATAAGATTCACCTTTTTCCCCCAAAAAAGAGGGTGAAAATCTGGGTGCATCTTATACACTGAATACAATGTTTTTCGCCTCTCGAAACCCCAACCCCCTTCGCAAAAATGGACGTGCAGAGGGTTTTAGGAGGCCTGCAAAGTGCCCCTGGGGGCTGGAGCGAAAAATGGGCCATTTTTTGCTCATTTTTGCCCCCCCCAGCCCACAGGAGCATTCTACAAGCATCCCGAAGCCTATGCATGCCCCCCCTTTTTTTTTTTTTCAAAAAATGGGTCCGTTTTTGCAAAAAACTGGCATTTTTGGCTCATTTTTGCTCCCTCCCACCTCTAGGAGCACTTTGCAGGCCTCTCACTCTCTCTGCATGCCTGCAGAGTGCAAAAACTTTTTTAAAATTTACCTCTTCAAAATCTTGGTGCGTCTTATACTCCAAAAAATGCGATAAGTCAGACCCTTCTTTTAGAAGGGTCCCTTATCTTCTATTGTTCTTTGAGAATAGAGCTGGAAGGTGTTTTAGCCCAATCCCCTACGGAAGCAGAAGACTCTATACAATTTCAGACAGGTGGCTGCCAAGTTTCTTCTTAAAAACCTCCAGTGGTGAAGCACCCACAACGTTGAAGATAAGCTCCATTTTATGACCTTCATTGCCATAGTTATTAAGGGAATCATTGCTGTTGTTAAGTTAGTAACACAATTGTAAAATGAATCTAACTTCCCCAGTGATTTTGCTTGTCAGAAGGGTGCCGAAGATGACCACGTGACCCCGGAACACTGCAACCGTCATAAATATGAGTCAGTTGCCAAGCAGCTGAGTTTTGATTATGTAACCATGGGGATGCTGCAACAGTCGTAAATGTGAAAAATGGTCATAAGTCACTTTTTTCAGAGCCATTGTAACTTCGAACAGTCACTAAACAAACGGTTGTACGTCGAGAACTACCTGTACTTTGCTGCTGTAAAAGGGCCTCTGGATGTTGCAGCATCAGAAATTAAGGTTGGTAAGTTCATCCTATAAGCCGCCAAGATATCCCAGGCGGGGGACAGGAAAGTGTTGTTCTGTGTTGCCATGATACTATAAATACCATATTGTTCAGAGTATAAGACACACCTCCCCCCCTTTAAAAGAGCGTGGAAATGTTGGTTCATGTTATACACCAAATAGAGCCATATTTGGCACCTGAAGCCACGTCCCCGTGTCCCATTTTTGTGACAAATGGGTAAAAAATGGGGGCATTTTTGCCTTCCCCCAACCCCCAGAAGCACTCTGCAGGCTTCAGCAGGGCTGAGGGAAGGGAAAAATGCCCACGTTTTGGTGAAAAACTGGGACGTTTTTGCCTTCCACCAGCCCTGCTGAAGTCTGCAGAGTGCTCCTGGGGGCCAGGGAGGACAAAAACTTTTTTTTCTTACTTACCTCTTTGAAATCTTGGTGCTTCTTATAGTCCGAAAAATACAGTACATGAAAATATCCGAAACCATGCCAGTAATTGAGGTCAACTTGAAGGAAACTTTATTGTAAGATGATTACTTGTTGTGCCCTTAGCATACATGGAAATTTTTTCCCTTGTGGCTCTCTGCAATTTTAAATGTTTAGTCTCGACGGAATATCCCTTCATTACAAATGTTGTTTTCCCTGGAGTAAAAAAAATTAGCTCACCCAGCCTGGTTTTTTTCAGATGCCCATCATGAAATTGTTTGATTTCTCTCTTAACAAAGCCAGGTTTTATGGGGCTCAAAACTGGAAGGACTGACTCAGTATAACAACAAGTACACTCATGACAAACCTTAAATTTTGCTTGTCAAATCAAAAGGTTCTCCACTGAAAAGTGGGCTAAAGGAAATAAAATCAATTTAGTTCCTTCCCCAGTTCAAATTCCTTCATGCACTGTCCCAAAGTAAAAAGAATATCAAATACATATCAGCTCGAATAGAGACATTTTCTGGATCAAGTCTTTGTGGACAGAAAGAATTCATATTCTGGCATTTATTTCAACAGGCTATTCAAGTTCTCTACTGCATCAAATTACAAATTACATAAAGATTTCAGGGAAAATCTGAGAGATGACCGAAACAAAATGTTCCCTTGAAAGAAACCGGAGAGAAACTGAAAAACCAAAAATGGAAAATTAGCAGCAAAGGAGATGTTCCTGGACCAATTTCAGATGTCACTCTTTTCCAAACAGGAAAGACAATTATCTCATATAGGTAATATGTAAGATAGGTGGTGGGGTTTTTTTCTCAAGGAAATATTTTTAGTATGTCTTAATTAAGGTCTCCCTTCCTATGAACAGATTCATTTTTCCCTAGATCCTTGGGTACAAAAAAAGCAGGAAAATAGCTAGCATCTTCAGGTAAGATAACAAGTTAAGAACTGAACTATACAGCTATAATGAGACAGAGTGTTGGAACTTTATGTCATTCCTTAGACTGAGGTGAGTGAAAAAGAAGGGAGTTGAACTAGAAGGTCTCCAAGGTTCCTTCCAGGTCTATTCTGATTGATAATCAATACAGTTTCCTCTTTCTCCCCTTCTATTTTTTTTTTTTTTTGCATTCTTCTCAGAAGACTCACCTAGCATTTATGCTGACAGTATTTTGGAGCTATATTTCTCCTGCATTTAAAACCCTTTCCATTATTTTGATGTTGTGTTATATATGCTATATTTTGCATGTTGCATTTTATTCAACATTTCAACCTGTTGTAAATTTGATTTGGTTTTTTTTAATAATTAATTTTTAAAAATGGCTTCAAGTCAAAAAGCTTATGAAAAGACATCTAAGTCTCCAGAGAGCTATTGATATAAAAATAAAAAGTAAATTAGCCGACCACCATTTCAGTTTTATTTATTGCTGGCATTAATCATTCTTTCACACATTGGTCTGTTACAAACATCAATAATCATTATAATCATCCTAATAATAATAAAACCCACAGTGAGGCACTACCTTGATGCTGTGGAATTTCTCTATGAATTTTTCCAATCTATTTTTAAAGACTTCTAATGGAGGAGCCACCTTGCAATAAGCTGAATGAATTGATTATTTTTATGACATAAATTTTATTTTGGAAAAACAAGGGCTGCCAATCTGAGGCATTCATTTGCCTGAATGAAATAATATCATGTGTTGAGCTATGATCTTTTAAAACTACAGAACAGTTTTTAAACGACGAAAAGAAACTCTGGGACTTCCTCTGTGGGAGTTCTGCCAGTCTTTTTTCCCCTTCTATATTTGGAAACGGACAGGAAACAGATGTGGAAAAGCCAGCTACTGCTATTCCCAAAGAGTAATTGGGGAAGTATGACTTTAAGAGCATCAGTTCATGCTTACTCACTCACAGATATATACACCAGGAAAGATCTGCACTTATGCTGCGCCTTCCTGTCTGCATAAGCAGGAATAACTGTCCCTCTTCCTTTGCGGTCTGAGCAGAGAGGACGTTAGTCCCAGTTCTGATAGGAGCGTGCAAAGTTCCATCACGACAGCATTTTTAAACCATGAAACATAATTTTGCGAGAATCCATGAAAAGTAAAAGGGATCCTCATTTCAAACTTTCATGCCACTGACAAAATAATTTAAGGGTTGAATGCAATCTCCAAAGCATGAATAAATAATAAAAATGGCTATAAACCATAAAAGAGTTTGTCTTTGATGTTACATAAAATTTAAATGTTTAATAATAGTATTAAACATAATATTTCTTTATCATGTTTGAAAGAGTGAACATCACACGAACAACTTTCCCACATTGACTGCATTTCATAAATGGCTGCTGGAGGCAAAACTGACTATAGGATAGCTCTCTAATTTCCTGCAGCAAAGCATGTTTCCAAAGAAGAAAGAGGAGCTAACAGGTTGAGAAAGAAAATGTAATTAAAAAAAAAAGAAAATGCAACCCAAATTTTCTAATCAGAAAAGCTGAAAAGAACTTCTAAAAAGTGATGTTACCTTTTCTTCTTTGCCACATCCCTGTATATGGACCAACACTTCCTGCGTAGTCACACTTCTCAGACCAAGGACCGTTGTCTCCTGGAAAGATAAGAGGAGACCTTGTTGATAAACAGAACAGGAGGTGTCTTTCATTGGAAACAATGGGAGCAGCCACAGCAAGGTTACGGTTGAAAGGCCAAAGATGGTAATTCCCATTTCTTTCAACCAAATACTATTTATATTAACAATTACACATGATTAACTATGCTTTATCAAGCTTCTTTTTCTTATACTAACAAATGGGTTATATGAAGCTGGAAAGGAAGGCACAAGAGTATAAAGGATATGGAAGATTTCAGAATTCACCTGTTCCTTAATGCACGAGAAAACAAAGGAAATCCGTCACTTTTTTGTTAGAATCCCTGACCCACCAAAATAAAAAGTGTCATCGTAGGTACAATTCTAAAATACAAGTTTAGACTTGTTGGAAGAAATGTCCATCTGGGTTCAGTTCAGTCGTGGGTTCCGGATCCTGGTGCAACCGGTACGGTGCAACGGAGTCGGGCATCCACCACATGAACACGCGCATGCATCCTTACCTCCTGAGGCACTCCACGACGCTCCAGCTGCTCGGCGGAGCATTATGCAGGCGCTCCATGTGCAGAAGCATTGAAGAGCTCAAATACCGGTAAGGAGCGCGCACGGGCGGACCCTCCAGAGCACCGTACTGGAACGGTACCCAGTGCTCCCAGCAGGCACCAGTACCGGTGGTAACCCACCACTGGTTTAGTTCCAAGTAGGAAAAAGACAATGGATTCATGGAAGTTGCTTGGAAAGAAGGTTTATTGATGGACAGAACCACATAGTTTGAGGTCCTGGGGGAAAAGCGGGGAAAGATGCTGAGAGAGCCTGAGTTTTATACCTCCTTTTGGGCCCCGTCTTGGAGCTTCTTGTTCCCGTTTAAGAAATTTATTCTGATTGGTAGTCAGACTGGCAGGAGACGGAGGTCTTAGCTAATTTTGTAGGCTGTCTGTATCCCAGGCTCAGTTGAGCTGTTGCTGGGTGATGATGTAATGAAAGGGCTTTACAATAGCAATAGTAGTTAGACTTATGTACCGCTTCATAGGGCTTTCAGCCCTCTCTAAGCGGTTTACAGAGTCAGCATATTGCCCCCAACAACAATCCGGGTCCTCATTTTACCCACCTCGGAAGGATGGGAGGCTGAGTCAACCCTGTGATTTGAACCGCTGAACTGCAGATAGCAGTCAGCTGAAGTAGCCTGCACTGCGCCGCCTCGGCTCTTCAAACTGCTCAGAAAGTTAACAGCAGGTTCTCCCAAACTGGGGCGAACTGGCTGAATCTCACCACTGCTAGCTACCTACCTACCTACCTACCTACCTAC